ACATCTGTCGAATGAATGAACGAACAAGGAACTATGGTCTTTATTTTACTCCTTCCCCCTTAAACACCCTCCAAGTGGAACCACCTGAATGCGTGAACTAGGCGGAAGGCGTTCAACCTCGCCATTGGCTGGAGTATTACCGTTGCTCCTGGCAACCACTGTTTCCCACCAGTCGTGTCGCCACCCCGCCTGGCCCCGCCCCCCATCGCCACGCCCCCAGACCGCCGACCAGCGACCCATTGGGAAAAAAACGATGCTTGCCCTTTAAGCGGCGGGACTTCTGGTCAACGTCGTTCGTCAACGCCGGAAGGGGAAGTTTCGCCTCCAAACGCACCCTCGCTTGTCCGAATTCGGTGGCGCCACGTCCGCCCGTCTCCGCCTTCTGCACCGCGACTTGAGTGGCTTCCGCCTCGACACCTGCCACTTGCAGAACCGGCCACGTCGTGAGGGGCCCGGGACGGGGAGTCGGGCGGCAGTGTGCATCCTGGCCACCTAAGAGTCGAAGATGTCGGACATCGGGGACTGGTTCAGGAGCATCCCGAGCATCACGCGCTATTGGTTCGCAGCCGCCGTCGCGGTGCCCTTGGTGGGCAAACTCGGTCTCATCAGCCCGGCCTACTTCTTCCTCTGGCCCGAAGCTTTCCTCTACCGCTTCCAGGTACTGACCGGCGACGGGGGGAGTGGAGACTACAGGTCCCAGGCGGGTCCCTGGCTGCGTAGCGTAGGCCAGCACGTTGAGGACACGCGGTGCCTCTTGGGATTTGTAGTGCGACCGCTCCAGCGGTTTAGGGCGGGGTCCGGTGGTCGGGGGGCGGGGTGGCCGCCAAAGGGTTTGGAACAAGGGCCTGCATAGCTGGAGGGGTGGAGACGTGGGTTTGGCCTGGTGGGAAGGGACTGATTGCGTCCTTCTATTAAGATTGTGCTCCCCGTTCTCTGCATTCAGAGAAGAAGGCAGTGGGAAACGAAGTCTGTGACAGTTGTCAATGTATTCTACACCAGTGCTTAGCAGCCTGGGTTTACTTGGTGTAGGCGCCATGTGGGTGACATAAGGCTGTCAACTTCCCCAACCGCCCAGCTGAGTTCCTTTTAGGTTAATGGAGTTTTTTTGTTTGTTTGTTTTTCCCCATGTTGGAGTGATTTGAGGCCAGAGGTGCGAAGAGTGAGTTTGTTTATCTGCATTTCCCCCAGGCCCTGACTTAGTATCTGGCATGTAGTGTTTAAATATACGGAGGAATCAGTAAAGAGTTAATTGCTCCAGAAATAGAAGGCCTTGTTATTTTTTTAAGCATGAAAGAAACAGTCCAGAGTTAACATTCCTGGCAAGAGAATATTAGTTTCCTGGAGGTTGTCTTTATTCACTGGATTCTATGATTTAAATCTTTAATCAGTGGCAGGTCAGATACCAAGAGCTGACATTATTTTCAACACATAACTTGGCCTGTGGATAATACTCTCTTGTTGTCCTCTTCACTGGCTATTTCTTAGTCTCTTTTGCTGGTGCTTCGTCTTCTGACCTTCAGATGTTGTGATGTGCTCCAAGGATCAGTTATGGGACCTCTTCTTTACACTCTCCCCAGCTGTAAGGTGATCTTGTTTAGCTTCATGGTTTTAAATACTGTCCATAAACTGAAGACTCCCAAATACAAATATATGTATTTTTAGTCCAAATTTATCTCCTGATTTCCAGCCATCTACTTGAAATCACCACCTGGGTGACTGATAGGCATCTCAAACTTAACACATCTCACACTGAATACCCTTGTCCCCATTGCACCAGAAGTAAATAGAAACTCCATGATTTACCGGAGCGCAAACTCACAGACATGGAGTCATCCTTGACTTCCCTTTCTCACACCCCACAATCTAGCAGTAAATTCTGGGTACTTTAGACATCTGCCCCGGATGCAGTCACTTTTCATTCTCCATTGCTAGCTATTATCATTCCAGCCTGTTCCTTTCAATCTTTTCTCTAGACAGCTGGAGTGATCCTTTTAAAATATAAATCAAGCCTCCTGTCAGTCCTCTGCCAAGAACCTTCCAATGTCTTCTCAGCTCCTTGAGCAAAATCCAAGTCCTTTCAGTGGCCTGCAGGGCCCTCGGCTTCCTCTCTGACCTCATCTCCTACTACTCTCCATCGTGCACATTAGGCTACAGTGGAACCCTTGCTGCTCCTCCGGCCTCTAACTTGGTTTCTCGCCAGGGCTGTTTGCACGTATTTCTCTGCTTGAGGGAGATAACCATGGCTTACCTCCTTACCGCCTTCAAGGCTTTTCCCAAACACCATCTTATTGGCAAGGTCTTATCTGATTGCCCTACATAAAATAGTACCCCTCCTTTACTTTGTCTATCCTTACCCTTAGTATTTTTTGCTCTATATCACCCCTTGGTATTAGTCCATTTCCCTTTAGAAAATAAGACTCCATGAGAGCCAGATCTTTTCTTGCTGACCACTATCTTTGTTACCTAGAGTAGTGCCTGGCACACAGCAGGTACTTACATGTTGGTTGAATGCATGGAAATAATTGGGCACTTGTTAGTGCTGGGCACTGGAGGTACAATAGTGAGTAAGACAGAAAAGGGCCCATCTCCCCATGAAGGAAGTAAAAGAGAGGCATGTGATGGAGAGTGACTTAAGGGGTCACTTGATCATTTGATAGAGTGTTCCAGAAAAGTCTCAAAGAAGATAACCTGAACTGAAAACTGAATATTGAGGAGCCATCTTTGGGAAGATCCGGCTCTAGGAACAATTTCCAGGAAGAAGGAATAGTAAGCTTAGAAGCAGGTGCTAGACACAGAAAGAAGACTGGATAGTGAGTACAGAGTCAGCTGTAGGGGTGAGGATTGGCGATGAGGACAGGGAGATAGCCGGGGCGAGTGCAGCAAAGCGAGGAGGCAGAGGTAGGCTGGGGCTGGATCATATAAGGCCTTGTGGTTTGGACTTTATTTCAAGGACACCAGGAAGGCTTTGGAGCCTTCCATCAAAGGACTGAGAAGGTTGCCTTGACTAACCTGTGGGATGGACTTGGGATGTGGGAGAGGGAAGACTCCAAGTAGGAAGTAAGAGAGATGGTGTTTTGGACCAAGATGGCTGTAAACATAGAAGTGGATAGACTTGGGAGCGGGAGCAGACACGGTTGCAGCTGAATGGATATGAAGGGTGAATTGGGAAAGGACGCAGGACTCAAAGACGGCGCGGTTTTCGCAGTGGGTGATTGAGTCCTGTACTGAGATCGGAAACATTTAGGGAGGCTTAGGTTTGGAGAACATAACATAAAGAGTTATGTCTTGGCCGTGCTAAGTCTAGAGATGCTTTTTAGGCATCCAAGTGGAGAAGTTAACTATTGGCTTCACTTAAGAAGTTCAGCAGTTGGTTATTTGAATACGATATGGGCCTGCAGCCAGAATTTCATGCTGTTCTCTACTTATTTACTCTGGTAAATACTTGCTGACTCAGTGAATATTGGGTAGTTTGTGCCTGGTGACATGTTGAGTGATGTGCGTGCGTGAGGAGCAATACTTGTAAATCATTGTGAGATGGACCTGGTCCCAGCTGGCTGTTGGACCCTCCTTGCAAAATCCTGCTCGCTTGTCTAGTCAGATGGGTAAAATAAGAAAGCTTTTCTAACAGACCACTGGTACATAATGTTAAAAGAGCCATCATTCATGTCACACCTTCTGTGATGTTTCCCCTCTTCCTAGCGTTGTTTCTTGGGGGCTTGTAATCCCGAAACTGGGGAGAAGCTGCTGGCAGGAGGCAGGACAGTGTACTGACTGCCCAGATGTGAAAGGACCAATATTTATAGCTTCTTTTTGCTGCTGTGACTCCTACCCCTTTCCGACAAGTTGAGTTTACACTTGCAAATAAGTTCCTGCAGGTGGAGGAAGCGGTTGAAGGAAAAACTTGCATCTGAGAGGCTAATGTGTGAGCACAAACAGCTTGTGGTGTGCTCTCTGCTAAGGCTCATCTTTTCCTTAGAAGCGGGATCATTAACAGCTTAAAAAAAAAAAAAAGATGGGGATGATTGATTTAGAATGGTAGATTCCTGTTGAGAGCTACAAAGGTTACTTTCCCTCCTTATTGATAAGTTTCCTCTGAGTAGCTTGCTGGTTTGAACTCCAAAGTTTAAAATGTTATTTCCTTAGTTTGGATAGGTAGAAACACAGAGGTGTGTGTTAAGACTCACTCTGCTGTTGTCCACAGTTTCTAGGCCCTCACACTTAACACCAATCAATCAAATAGATCACAATGATGAAATGCCTTCATTATTGGTCCCTGATTAACTAGAAGAGAGGTTATTTCCTGCTCGTCTGGTGGTTTCTGATGTTATAGCTCCCAGGGCTTCCTCCACAGCGATATTTCATTTCTTTGGACAAAATAACATCACCTCCTTACATCTGTATTTTGCTTCTCCATATTTTATCTCATTCAGTTCCCACAGTCACCCCAGTTTAAGTGTTACCCCAGTTTATAGACAGCTGCAGTTTCAGTTTACATTTCGGTGAGTTGAAGATAGTTCTGAGCTCTTGTCGAATTTCATTGCATAATATCCACCAAAACACATTCGAGTAGTTAAGTGTTTAACAAAACATTTTTGAGGGTGACGTCTTCCCAGTCAGTCATAGCAAATTATTTTTTCTTGTCCTGTTAAAGTAGTCAGGATTTCAAGTAGTTGAGTCGTTGTCTGCAGGCCTGGCTCAGCACCTTACTAGTTGTATGCCTGTAGGCAAGTTATTTATCCTTTCTGAGCCTCAATTTCTTAATTACTGAATGTATGTATATAACCAGCACCTAGATCAAGCAACAGAAAATTACCAAAAAATGGTGATAATTTAATGCCATATTAACTCTGCCCTGAGTTAACTCTGTTCTGACTCCATTGATTATAAAATGTTCCATCAATTTAATACAACTTTTTGTAGGGGGAGGAGAGTAGGATTACATTAAATGAATATATTGATAGTAAGACACATCTTAATTTCAGAAACACAAAAACGAGTATCTTCAAATCGAGGAAATATTATTTACTTCCTGCCTCTATTATATAAAATACATAGAAAAATGTTTATAAAGTGTCCAGTAAATAGTCTGGTAAAACGAATCTATTTAAAAATAGTGCCATTTTTATTTATTAGCCAATAATAATTCCTGTCATTACTGCCTTCTCTCTGTGGGCAGGAAGATTCTAATTTTAATTTATAATTGAAATTGAAATACAAATGCTGGATTATTGTCCTATATTTTGTCCCTTTAAAAGCATCCTGACTTGAAATGGGAAGATATGAACTCTCAATTTCTCTAATTTGTTTTAAGAGTAATAAGAAATGTCACCAACCAAACCTGTGATTGGGTCTGGTGCTTATATTTGCCAAGCTTTTGCTTATGTTACCACGTTTAACCCATGATAGCAACCCTAGCAGATTGATTTAAGAGTTTATTGAGGAAGAGAGACAAGCACACACAAAGCCGGAAGGGGAGTGAACTTGGTCTGTAAGCTGAGTGTGCATAGAAGTAACCTCAAGGTTTGGATTAGAATTTGAGCAGCAAGTGCTTTTAAAATCTTTCCTTAGTAGTCCTGTCAACACTCTTACACTGTGATCCATAGATAAGGTTGCCCAATGGACCATAGCTTTGTTGAACTTGTTGAGTTACAGAATACAAACAGAAAAGTGGATGTGTTATATATTTATAGCTTGTTGAATTTTCCAAAACTGACCAATAAACAGAATATTACCAGCACCCCCATATGTTCCTGCTGCCTCCTCCAAGGGTAACTACTGTCTTGACTTTTAATATCATAGATTGTTCTTGCCAATTTTTTTTACAGTCTGTAAATGAAATCATACAGTATATATTCTTTTGTGTCTAGCTTCTTTTTTTTCTTTTCCAAACTTCTACCTTTTAAATAAATATCCATCCATCCATCCATCCACTGGCTATGATTTCCGGTACAAGGTTTAGTAGAAGGAATGGCAGCAAACTTTCTTGTTCTATTTCCATCTTCAGGATTTGAAATCTGCCCCTACCTCCTTTTTTTCTGTTACTTACTTATTTGCTTGTTTGTTTTATTGAGGTAACATTGGTTTATAACATAAGTTTCAGGTATGCAACATTATAATATGACATCTGTGTCTACTACAGTATTTAGCTGCTTTTTAACAGTACGTTTGAGAATCACCGGTGTTGTTGCATGTGGCCATAGGTTGCTTATCCCCATATTGTTCCTTTGTGTGAATAGACCATTTATTTACCCATTCTACTTGTAATGGACCTTTGGGAAAATTTTTAGCTGTGGCTAGAATGAACAGTGCTGCTGGGGACATTCTGTACATGCCTTGGTGAACATAGGTATGCATTTCTGTTGCGTATATACCTAGGAGTAGAATTAATGGCTTATAATAGCTCTTTTAAAGTCCTCAATTAGGTTGAACGCCTTTCATTTGTTTTTCTTGCCTGCCTCGTGTGTCCAAAACAAAAGGGGGTGAGGGGACACAGTTTCTGACATCAGCATGTGGCACACAGGTGCTCTTCTTTCTTAATTGCCTGGTGACTCATGTAGACTTTAAGTCCAGATCAAATAATCTGTATTGTTTCCAAAAAATTTTTGGTTTTGGTAGTTAAAAAACCCCACTCTACATTCTGGATGGCATTTGTAGTTATCTCGGTAGCAGATTGTTTGGGAGATTTTAGTTCAAGGCTGGCTGAACGAAACATTCTTTCAACAGAAGTTGTTGGACTAATAACTAAAGAACAATGTCTTATGTTTTTTGAAGGTCTTAATATGGCAGTGAGCATGTGGGCTTCTTGCCCTTGTTAAGTGAGGGACTCTGGGGGGATTGCCTCAAGTCTAATGAGAGAGCAGTTTTCCTCATGAGAAAGCTGGGGTGACTATGGTTCTGGCCTTGCTGCGGGGTTAAAATGAGATGCTTTCCTCCGAATCTTCTGGGACACAAGCCATGCAGTCCTGGGATCCATGAAGGCTTTCCAGGGTTGAAAACATGCACGCACCACTCCCAGCCCTGAAAATAAAGCCTTTTTTTTAATCCTAACTATTCACATATCCAGTAGAGGAAAGGAGGGGATTTAGTTGGGTACCTTCCATGGGGATTTCAGAAATACTCTATAACATTGTGTCCTTCTGAAGAGACAGCTATCTCCTGGTGTTTTCAAATCATTTTAAAGTAATACAAAAATAATAAGAGTCTTAGATCAATGAAAGCAAGCGTATCTCAAGGGTAGGCTTAATGAACGGGGGAAAAGAAGTGAGGTATTTTGACAGACACTGATTTCCAAAGAACAGGTGCACACAGTGGCTAAAAATAGTGTCGTGTTGTCAGTGTTAGTGAAAAAATGTAATCAGAAAAAAACCCCGAGGTTTCTTTTCTAAAATCAGGCCTTGAGTAACTTTACAGTAATACGGGGGTAGTTTAAAACGTGCATTTGTAAAAACCAGGTCAGCGTGCATCACCTGAAAGATCGTAACAGTCATACACCCACACATTTTTTTTTTAAATTTTTTTTTTTTTACAAAGCCCTTTTTAATCTACTTTCTTAATTCCAGCCTTTCACAAAATCTGTGAGACAAGGAAGGCGGAAGTCATAGGACAAATGGCGTTGGGTAGGTGAAGACACAACCTCAAAGGGCCAGACTCTTCCAAGGCCTCATGGCTACTCAAGAGCCAAGGCCGGGGTTTGCTGGCTGCCGGTGTTTGCTCCCAGTGCTTTTTGTAAGCAGGAGGAATCAGGATTATATGAAGATAATAAGTATAAGCAGTACTGAACATTTTTACTGATTGTAATTATACTTCATAATAATGATGTCACTTGTGAGACGCATTGTAAACAAAAGGTTTAGCATCATAAAGTCTGGGAGTCAGGCTGTCTGACAGATTTCTAGCTCTACCACTGACTAGCGATGACTTACCTTTTCTCATCCAGTTTCCTCATCTGTAAAACCCACCTCCTGAGTCAGGGCGTGGAAATGGACAGACTAGCACAGTATTTATTTTTTAAACCATTAGCCAAAGTAAGGCAAGTATTAGCATATCATTCCCCTTTTACAGATGGCAGTTGAGGCTCAGAAATGAGAATTTGTAATTTAAGACTTAATTCTAAGTCTCCTCAAGTCATCTCCAGTGCTCTTTCCATTAGACTAGACTGTTTTTATGATAAAATTGTGAGTGAGCCAAATGAGTTTTAATCAATGTTGTTTTACTGGTTTAATATACAGTCCTTGGAAAGTCCCATTTTGGGCATATAAAGTACGTTTTCCTCTGCAGGGAATTAAGCTCTGAGGGTTACACACCTGTATTAATTAGAGGAGGTAACCTGCCAGCCCTGTGTCTGGCCAGGCCTCACAATAATGTCCCCCATTGCAGCCACACCCAAGTTGTTAGCAGTATCGTCCATTCATTGTGCTCTTACAATTCTTTGGCACTTTGTTACTCATCTTTCCAAGACCAAACTTCCCCTCACTTGTGTCCACTCTTGCTTCTTTGGACAGCCGCCCCCACTATTGAGAACTCCTTGATGCAATGGCCGTCATTTGTTCTTGTGCAATAAGGCACAGAGCTCTCAGCCAAAAGCTGGCATTATCCAGGCGTTTCAAAAGTCTGGGGAGGCATCGTTCAACTGCTATTACTTAACATTGTTCTGGAGGTACTCGCCAGTGAATTAGACAAGAATGGAATAGATACACAATTTTATTTATAGATAGAGTTCATTACTTGGAAAGCCCAAGAAGCCCAAATATTACAAACAGTAAGATAGTTGAGATTTTGTGGTTGAGTGTTAAGAAGAGATAGAAAGCAGCAGCTCTATGGAAAGCTATAAATGCTAGGAAAGACTTCTTCCTGGCTGGGAATTGTATCAATATCACATTGATATAATAAAGATGTTTGTCTAGTTCATTTAGAAAAATAAAATATCAAGACCAGCCAAGAAAATTGTGACAATGTGGAAGAAAAATGGGAAGGGAACTATTTAATTATGTTGCTTTACCAGACATGAAAACATATTATAAAACTAGAAATAAAATGGCTTGGTATTGGGATAGGAATTCAGTTGTAAACAGAGTAGTCTAAAAGTAGACCTTCCTTAATATAATAGGGTGATAAAAAGTTTTTCAAATGAAGAAAAGATGGGTTACTCTGTAAATAGAATTGGGAAAACTGAGTGACCATCTAGCATAAGTTGGATCTCTTCCTCACTCTTTAGGTGGATGTCGAATGTGCTACAGTAAAACTGTGAGCACTTTTATCTTCTTGGAGTGAAGTTTCTTGTAAACCTGGTACATGGTGGGTACACTTGCCAACGTTAAACTGTTACATGTGGAAGTATGGCAAAAACACCATAAAAGCGTAAGTCTGATAATAGACCAGAAAATATTTGCAACAGTGAGAAAGGGAAATTTCCATAATATATGAAGAAATGCAAATCTAGCAGAAAAATGAAGAAAGGAAATGCTAAAGTTTTAAAAACATGATTGGTGAATATAAAATACACCGACGTGGTGGGGGTGTGGAGAGAAGCCACACATTAATCTACATTTTCGGAGGAAGTATAAATTGGTTAAACATTTTTGTAGGCATTTGGCAGAATCTACCAGAATTAAATGCAAATGTCTGATTTGGCAGATTGACCCGCAGGAATTTATCGTCTACCTACATGTACCAATAGGATTATTCAAGAGTATTCATCGTTGTATTGTAACAGTTTAAATGAAATTTAGATGTCCACATAAAAGGAATACTATGAAGGCAATAAAAATAGTTTTTCAAGGGAATAAAACAAGATACAGATCAGTACAATATAAGATAGGATGAAAAGGTATGAATAATAGTAACACAGACTATTATTTCTTGAAAGAAATATAAGAAACTGACCCGTTTTTGCTGGAAAGGGAACTGGGAGATTGAGGATCAGGCGAGAGACTTAACTTTTCACTGTGGAACTTTCTGTAATTTTTTTTGTGGGGAGGAGGGTTAGTATTGTAAAGTCATGTGTCCATATTGCCTAAATAGCACAGTAATTTGGATAAAAAGTTTCCTATTTTACTTCTACGTTTTGAATATGACATTTTTTGACAAGGTTTGTCATCCCAGTATTATTATTTTCCTAAATAGAGATAATTACTGTCCTGTTGGAAATTGCCTTTGTAATTCATTTTTGATGGGCTTATCTGAATGCCTGTTCCTAGTAAAGATTAACCATATACTTTCATGGTACTGATTTTTTTTAACTTGTTTAGAAATAGTTATTACTCATTTTATGATGTCACTTTAGTCCATTGATTTGTAAATTGATGTGATTGTAACTGATCCTAACTTTTCTTCAGTTGTTTTCTTGAATGATATTGGTGGTGTCCCTTTAGTAGTTCTTATTATTGAAGAGAATGTTTTGCAAGGGTTAATTTTGTTTAGTTAAAAGAAGAAAAATTTAACCAGGCATAGAGAAACTAACAGCTGTGTTTGTTTTGACCTGGGCAGATATGGAGGCCAGTCACTGCCACCTTCTATTTCCCTGTGGGTCCTGGAACTGGATTCCTTTATTTGGTCAATTTGTATTTCTTATATCAGTATTCTACACGACTCGAAACAGGTATGTTTTCCATAGTTGTTTTAAGTACAGTATATTGTTTCTGTCTAACTTACTAATCTATATGTTTCCTTGTTGGAGAAATTTTGAGGGCAGTGAGCATCTATAAAGAAATGGCTGGAGTGGCGCGATGGTTAAGAACTGGCTTGGGATGCCAGAGGGCCCCGGTTCGGATCCCATATGTGAGGGCCAGTGACACTGCCCTCCACAGCTAAGATGCTGAACAACAGCTCAACCTGGAGCTGGGCTGCTGTGAGTCGCTGGCGACGGCGTAGGCTGCAGCTCCTGCTGCAGTGGGTTGCCATGGGCTACCATGTGTAGCCAGCAGCCAGCGTGAGCGGTCAGCAGCCGCAGTGAGCGGCCGTCCAGAAGCAGGCAACAGATCTGCCTCGCCTGGGAAGAGTGCAGTGATGGTGCCAACTTGGGGCAGTGAAGCAATGTCCTCCACAACTAGACTAAAGAACCGCCTCCCCCCTCAATTCCCCAATAAAAAAAAAATCATCTTTAAAAAAAAAAATGGCATAATGGTAGTAGGTGCTCAGTAGGTAGTAACTGTGCCAGGACTGTACTAGGCACTTAAAATATTTGATTTTTAATCCTCACAACATCATCATAAGGTGTAAGTAGCAGTGTTCCCATTTTATAGGTAAAAAAATGGAACAAGACCGAGGTTTACACATCTTGCCCATGACCTTGGTGGCTGAGCTGTGTGCCTCTCACTTAATTTGACATCTCATTTTTTCTGTCGCACAGCAGTCCTTGCCCTTCAGTGAGCAATTGGGCTGAAATGTCTGTATCTCCTAGATTGGGGTTGAAAAACACTGCCTTATGTAATTAAAAGCCTAGCTTATTCCTTGTAATTGAAACACTCAACTTGAAAATACGTAGCCGGGGTGTAGTAACATGGTAGTTTATCAGATGTGACTACTTATACCATGTTATGGGTAGGCTTTTTTTTTTTTTTTTTGTAAGCCGAGCCATCCTGCTACCTGTTGGCAGCTCAGCAGCTGCTCAGCTCGGGCTGGGAATGGGTAGGCTTTTTAATAAAAATCTTTTCTTACAAGGTTTCTTACTGATTGTTATTTATTTCCTACAGTCCGTTACACTGAGAAGCAGTAAATTGATACTGCTGTGTCAAAATGTGAATATAATGATTTTGAAAAGGCTGGCTGACTCCAGAGACTTTGTAAACCTGCTGGCTGTTAGCTCAGGAGAGAGAATTCTGAGCCACCCTTAAATCTGTCAGTTGGAACACTGAATCAATCTCATAACTGCAGGAAAATAGAAGGATGGGCATTTATGTGTCAAATATAATTTCTCCTTAAATTGGCACTTGCTACTAGGTGCTTTTTAAAAAGAAAGAAATTATTATATTAATACAAAGTGTCAGGCCTAGACTTCTGTTCCTACTGGAAGGGTCCTAGCCCCTTTGCCTTAGTGAGGAAGAACAGGAGATTCAAGGCAGTAAACTTGGCTGGGGTGACACTGACAACAGGGCTGTCACCACCATATCAAGGGCTTGACCCTTAAATCCACCAGAAGATGTGACTTTCCTCCTCCCAGTTGGACTGATTATGATACTGACTTGCGTAGCATTCTACCCCTCTGATATAATTTAATTGAGGGTTAAGTTGTCAGAGTAATGGATACACACACATGCGCGCACAGTGGAAAGTTTGCGAACTTAATTGTCCGATCGTTATATCAGTAGTAAACTCGTGTGGGTGATCCGTAACCAGTTTTTAAAATTTTTATTATGGAAAATTTTCAAGCACAGAGGTAGAGAGTAAGGCTAATGAACCTTTTCCTCTTATTATTGAGATAAAATTCACATAACATAAAACCCACTGTTTTAACCATTTTAAAGCATGAAGTTCAGTGGTCTTCAGTATATTTGCCGTGTTATACAGCCATCACCACTATCTGATTCTGACATTTTCATCACCCCCGCAAAAGCCCAAAGCAGTCACTCTCCCTTTTTCCTCGCCGCCTCTCTCAGCCCCTGGCAACCACTAACCTGTTTTCTGAGTGTATGGATTTAACTGTATGAACATTTTATGAGTCCTTTTGTGACTGGCTTCTTTCATTTAACCTAATGTTTTCAAGGTTCATCCACACTGGAACATATATTAGTATGAACCTTTTAACCTTTACTCACCTTTACCAGTCTTATTTTATCTGTATCCATGCCTGTCCCTCCAGCCCTGATTATTTGAAGCAAAATTCCAGACACGATAGCATTTCATCCATAAATAGTTTAAATATTTACCTCTGAAATACAAAGACTTAAAAATAATCATAATACTGTTACTAAACCTGAATTACAATAATTCCATGACCACATCTTTATTTGAAAATTGTCTTCTCTTGGTTACTTACGTTTTTGAATCCAGTTACCTGTCCCTACTCCCTAGTCAGGCAATGTAACGCATTTGTAATACGTCAGTAACACTTAGGGTGCGTCTCTAAGACTATTCGGCATTGATTTCTTTCTAATTTGCTTTAATTCTTAGACGTCGCCCCTCACTCCCCACTATCCAATCCCAGAACAGTAGGAAATTTCAGAGCTGAGAGGCATTTTAAAAACAGTCTTATTGATATATAATTCACATACCATGCAATTCCCCCCATTTAAAGTGTACGATTCGCTGGGTAGTCATAGAGTTGTGCAGTCATGACTACAGTCAACTTTAGACTATTTCATCACGGCAGAAAGAAACCCTGTGCCCATTAGCAGCCGCTCCCACTTGTATTCAAGCCCATCTCACCCCCAGCCCTGAGGCAGCCACTTTCTGCCTCTCAGTTTGCCTGCTCTGGACCTGTCTTATAAAGGGCATCGCCCAACAGGTGGGCTTTGTGATCAGCTTCTTTTACTTAGCGTAGTGTTTTCAAGGCTCTTCCGTGTAACATATGTTAGTACGGATTCCTTTTTATTGTCAAATAAGGATCCATTGTATGGAATTATCATGCTTTGTTTTTCTGTTCATCAGTTGATGGACATTTGGCTTGTTTTCATTTTTTGGCTGTTACGCCATAGAGAGGAACTTTTGAGATCTTTCCATTTAAATAAGATTTCACCAATAAGGAAACAATGGTTTGGAGAGGTGATGACACCCCAAAGGTTACAAAGCTATTCTGTGTGAGATAATTTGACTGGAACCCAGGCTTGTTGATTCTCAGTCTTCTTTCCACCATAGTTTCAAGATAACATTTTTTTTTTAGATTCTTTTTTTTTTATTAGTTTTTTAGATTCTTTTTTTTTATTTTAGTACATATTATTATATGTACAAAACAATGTAATAGACATTTTCTCCCCTCCCCCAATCTATTGTTCAAGATAACATTTTGACAAAATGTTTACCACCTGCATATTTTCCTGCCTGGCTAAATTAAGTAGATAATAGCAGTGTTGGCTTATTTATAAGCTTTCTGATTTGAACCGGATGCCCACAATTTGAGACCAGTTAATTTGTAAATTCCTAGTTTGGAAGCTTGCCAAATAATAAAGCACTATAGTTGATGTGATTACAGTATTTTAAGTATTCAGTTGAAAGAATCCTTAGGAATCAGAAAGCCAAAAAACCACATCAAAAGAAGCAAAACTGTTATTAAAACTCAGAAACATTTGTTAGAATTTCAGCTTTGATTCATCATAGTGATCCCCTACCATTAAGCACCCTAACACTGTAGCTAAAGTGTGCCCTTGAGGTACCAGGGGAGAAGTAAAGGGACAAGCAGGGACTCTTGCTGGAAATCGATTCTGTTTTAGATAGATGTTTTTTCTGCCTTTCTGCCACTTGTTAAGATTTTTTTTTAATTGACTATATATCATGTCATTGTGATGGGGTGTGGCGGCGAGAGAAGGTAAGTGCTTGAGCAATGTAAGTGTGACCTTAACACTCATTTGTTTCTTTTCTCTGCCTCTCTTCTAGCCTTCCAACCACAGGCATGACGACTCACCCTTAGAAGGGAGAGCTGGGCCCGTGTTGATTTTTCTGCCCAGTAATAAGACGTAGCGTGGTATACGGTGTAGTGACGAGAGCACGAAACTAGTAATTAGATTTCACTGTGCTGCTAGCAAGCCATGTGACTTTGCTCATGTAACTATTTTCCATCTGTCAAAAGGGGGGTGTAGGTCTTTCCATGCTACCTCCCGATGTAGTATGAAGATCAAGAGCCAGAGGCTATGGAAAGGTTTGGCTGTCCCCCTGCCTGCCTGGCCACCCCACCCCGTCCATCAGAACTTACATTCTAGTGGAGGGAGAAGGGATTACCAAAGTAATCACAAATGTGTCCTCAGGCCGTGATGAGAGCCAAGAAGGAAGACCCACAGGCTCTCAGGGACTTCGGGGGTGGCACCTCAGTAGCTGTGGATCGAGGGTCCTCCCTTTGGGTCTTTTTTTAGCCCGTGGTCATCAGAGCATGTCACTTACTGCACTTCAGTTGGGAGAACACAGGTTAGCCTTACTAAGTGACTGAGTTCAGGACTTTACTGAGACGGGGTTTTAGATATTTTAAAAAATTTATTTGTATTTGAGAAAGAGTGACTTAAAAATATTCTCAGTTTGGCTTCTTCTATAAGTTTTGAAGTGTTTCTCTCCACAGCAGTGATTTATTTTGTTCGGAGGTTCTGAGCCCTGACGTCTGGCTTGTTTTTGTTTCTAGGAGCTTTTGATGGGAGGCCAGCAGACTATTTATTCATGCTCCTCTTTAACTGGATCTGCATCGTGGTATCCTTCAGTCTGTTTTTTTGGGCCCGAAATGAAACCAGCTTTTTTTCAGGTTTGGGAAAACAGGCAGTTCTCTGTACGACTCTCCAAATGACAGTATTTGCATCTTTGTTTACTACAGTTAATAAAAATAATTAAAGGCCTTTTTAAACGCTGTAGTAAATCATATAGAGCGATGCATTCTGTTGCCATCGCCTCTGGAGGCTCTTCCCACATTTGGTCGAGTTTTATTACTGTTCCCTCTTCTTGTTCCCAGTTCTCTGTGTTCTCACGTATGACAGCTTGTTGACTGCAGCACAGAGAGGTTTCCGGCCATAAGACGGTTTGGAAAGCTGTGGTCCTGATCAGAAAATGAACTTACAGCCAGCACCCTCTTCTGACTTCATTGCTGTCCTTGTCCTGGGGTCCTAAGTGGTAACTCAGTCCCTCTGTAAGTACCCGAATCTGGGAAAGGACACGGCGTGTCTCCGCTGTGTTTCAGCCCCAGTTGTCAGCTGCCTTCCAGCTGTGGACCTTTCCAGATGCTGAGAGCAGCCGAAGGGACTTGATGGCTCAAGCCCTGTGCTGAACTCGTGAGCTCAAACTTGCTTTGGGGCTCAGCTTCCATCCGCACTTGGCACAGAGCCAGAAAATGGGGCACTTTGGATGCCCTTTTCCCTCCTTGAAGGGAAGAAAAAAAAATTGTTTTGGATTTCAGCCACGCCGTGGAGCCCTAAGTGTTAGTAGAATCGTTATTTGTTGCAGAGGGCACAGGCATCTCCACCTGCTAACTGAAGGTGAGATGCTACAATGCAGCGGCAAGGCAAAAAGCGGACACCAGGTGCCACACTGAGCCGTCTGCCGGAGCTCTTCAGTTCCACCTTTCCCTGTCATCCTACAGCCTACTAGAATAGTCCTAGTGAAGATTATTAGATACCTTTGTGTTCTGGGATGTTGCGCACAACCCGAGCTATAGAAAAGTGTGTTCCTTCCAAAGACTGGGTGCAGAATGCTTTGTTTCTGTCTGATCTTTAACTTTGCAAACCAAGATTACTGGCTTAGCAATGGACATGCAGGTAAGTTGGAACTCTCCATGTGTCCTTCTATATAATGTACTACTAATGACCTTTGATGGTTTAAACTGTATTAACTGTGTGGTTAATTATGGGCTGTTTTGAAATTATAGCTGTTTTATTTTGAAGCTCTTACATGAGTTAGCTAAACCATTACACTTCCTTATCATGTTTGAACATTGAGAATGACGGTTATCCCGTATTTTCTACGCTTGTAGGTAGATACACGTTTTTAAAAAATTGCAAATATACTGTAACTAAAGCTTTATGCCTGCTTTTTTTCACATAACAGAGCTTAACCCTGATATTGCTGCATCCATCTGAAATAATGTAATTGCGTTATATTTTATTATAGGATTTTGTAGCATACATTATATGATAAAAGGATCAGTTTATAATTCTGATGAGTTGGGTCTCGGTTTTTGAATAGTGATGTGAGAATTTGTTTGGAGGGGAGAGGTTAAAAAAATGGTAGGTTCCCATTAGGCCTGTTTTAAGGGCCCCTGGAGCCTCGCCTTTACACATTGCGTCTTTTACAGCTGCTGATGATTCCTCTGATCATGTCAGTGCTTTATGTCTGGGCCCAGCTGAACAGAGACATGATTGTGTCATTTTGGTTTGGAACACGATTTAAGGTACTTTCACCTAGTTGGGAAATTTTCCTTTGCATCTGTCTTTGCAGGAATCCCTCTTCAGCCCAGAGGTGCATTTTCAGACTCGTCCAGAAGAGGTCGCTGCAAAGCAGTAGACCTTAGGCAAGCCCGTCTCCCATCCTAGGTCCCCGTGTTTCTCCAGCCGAGTTCTTACCTCCCTCCCACCCCCTGTGTTGCGCAGGCCCCTCCCTCAGGCCTGCGTCCCTGTCCCTGAGTGATCGCATGTGTGTGTGTGTGGTAGACAGAGGGAAGGAAAGATACTCACGTGGAACCCTCCCTTTTAAAATCTGTTCTTACTACTCCCTGTTACAGATTTTACATTTTAGCTGAATACATTGTTTTTCGTCCCCAAACATTCCCTTTTGTGCCTTCTAACAGTTTTCCACCTGTAACATCTTTTCTGTTTTCCTCCTCATGTGACTCCTACCCTTTCCTCGTTTGAGTTGAGACTGAACATATTTCTTGAGTCACTTGCTCAGAATTAGTCTCACCTTTGGGATTCGGCAATATTTTGTGTTCCCCGTATAGCACTTAATCACATTCTGCCTTCCACTTATTTATGTATAACTCTTTCTTTACTGGTTTATAAAGTTCCTTGCTTGCAACTCCCTTTTGCTCTTGGTATGATGTGTTGAATCTGGTAAGGGGCTCAAATGTTGAATTCATCTGGAGAACTGTCTTATTTGGGAGAGTATTAGGTTAAGACATCAATGTGCAAAGAGATAAACATTTAAATAATTTTGTGAAATATGTAAACAGAGAACCTAAAAATATGGGGTATTTTTAGTTCATTGGTAACAATTTGCTGGTTGGAGTCTTAATGTGATTCTAGGTGGATCATGTTTCTATTATCCGTAGGACAGTCATCCACTTTCTGAAGCTATTTGTTAATATTAATTCAGCGGGGCATGCATTGTATCTGAAAACTGGTCAAAGTACTCCATCTCTCCACTTATTAATATATGAATATATGTAATTTTAGATAGGGAGTTTTAAGTACAATAGGAATGATGCTAGATTGATCTGAGACTGTTTTGCAGTGACTTTCCAAGGGATTTCTATGAAGCCCTCGTCAGTCCGTCCGTACCCATTCAGCCCCATAGCAGCTGTATTCTCTTTAGGTGTGGGTATTCATGTTTGTGTCCTTCTTTCCCAGGCCTGTTATTTACCTTGGGTGATCCTTGGATTCAACTATATCATCGGAGGCTCGTAAGTGATAGTAGGTTTATTTAATTGGAAACGAATCCTTGGAAGACTCCCGTTCTTCTTTATCTGCCTTCTCTGATCTTTATGAAACTTTTAAAGAATCTCAACATGGATGCATTGGAACCTTTTACTTACCAAACAATTTTATTTTGATGTAATTGATTCGATTGTAGGAATTAAGCACATTTAGCATTGAATGATTTGCTTTTTTGTTAGCTCCTTCTTACAATATGCTTTCATATATGTGGTTTTGAGTAAATATTCATTTATGGATTCACTGTCCAGATTGAGCAAACAGAGATCTAATTTGTACCTGAGCTGACTCCTGTAAGAACTATGCATAAAGTTACTATGTTTTTTATTCTTAAGGCATTTTCAGAGTGCCTTGGAAACTGCTCACCAGTCACAGAAATGCAGATTCTCAGATGGGAAGTAGTTTTGTAAGTGGTTTGGTAGTACAGACGCTTTGGCCAAACAAGGCCAGACTTCTAGTTTGGAGTTAGAACTTAAGACTTATGAAAACCTTTAGAACATCCAGTCAGAATTTTAGGAGAAGAATTTTAGGATATCAACATGCAACTATTCTAAGAACTCCCATTTCTTATACTACAAAATATTTTTCATGTTTTAATAGATTTTTGTAGTACTAGATCTTAATATATCTGACATATTTGCCCTGTGTAGTCCAAACGTCTCCTGCATATTGATAGGGAGAAAGGAATGAATCAAGCAAACAGACTTTCTTTAGAGCCTAGCAAGGTCTGAGCTTGGTAAGACTGCCCTGCTACCCACAAGGGCAGATCTGGGAGCAGGGGCACTGTTGATTTTCCCTCCCAGGAATCACCACGTCACAGATGAAGAGAAAGAAGTATATGTAATAGTAAGAGTGGATCTGTAAAACCTTGAAGTGGCCTATATGGAAGCCATGCTTATTTTAGGGTTACAAGGTGAAGGTCAGCTTGCTGAAGAGATCTCTATGATGCCGTATACTCGAGGACACCAGAGGCGAGGGAGCGTGCTCAGTGGTCCCAGACAGGGGGAGCAGACATGTATTGCCCCTCCTTTCCTTACTCCCATGCTTCTCTTTTCTTGCTAGTCTTCATTTTTTTTTTTTTTGCCCTTTTTTTTTGCCCATTTTTTGCAAATACAGTCTTCCTGACTGGAAGCATTCAGAAGTTTGCAAGTTCCCCAATTCTTAAGGCAGGAAGTGGCGAAAGCAGTATCTTGAGGATAGGGTGGGGCTTGAAAGAGATGTCCCAGCTGGGCTGGAGGAGCTGGACCCCATGGGTCCAGCAGGACTGCTTTTCCTTCTCCCTCAGAATGATTTGCCACCCAGACCACAAAAGGGCTCATTGTGGAGCTGTCACAGACTCCCAGGGGCCAGAGATGGGCTGTCCTGAAGGATCTCTTCCCTGTGCTGTTAGTTAAAACTTGCTGCATCTCACTTTACTGCTTGAATGTCTTTAAACTGATTTGGCTCTGTTGCTTGCAGGGTAATCAATGAGCTAATTGGAAATCTGGTTGGACATCTTTACTTCTTCCTGATGTTCAGATACCCAATGGACTTGGGAGGAAGAAATTTCCTATCCACACCTCAGTTTTTGTAAGTGTTTTTTTCCTCTCTCATTTAACAATCATTTGACCGCATGTGTTCTTGAATATCCTGATAAGAATTCCACCAGAGGTAGGATTTACCTCTGAAGAAATGTGAGCCAACAAATGACTTGCCCTGGTCACACAGTCACCGGAAGCCAGGGATTGAAACCACAGCTCAGTCATCTTCATGGAGCCCTGCCAGGGCCCACTGAGAGTAGATTCAGGCATCACAGGAGCTCTTCAGCTCTGCCGAGCAGGGGGACACCTGTGTGCAGCTCCAGATGCTCAGCAACGGGCCAGGATAACAGGGTTATCAGTGTTACCCAGAATTTTGGGCTGAGGAAGGGAAAGGGGGGTAAGTTAGCTCATTGGTGAGTAACGTAAAACATTTTTATGCTAAATAGTATAGGCTGGAATATTTATAGGAGTTTTCAAAGTTAAAATGAGACATGAGGTTTGGATAGTCCCGTCCCCTGGGAGTATGTGCTTGTTCTTTGTCTGCTTCTGGGATTTACTCAAGTGAGGCTAGGCGGCTGAGGGCATAGCTTTGGTTTTGAGACAGTCTTGGGTTGGAAACCCACTCCCCTCATTTACCAGTTTTGGGACTGGGAGAGTTACGTAATAAAACCACTAAGCTTCAGCTTGTGAGTCAGTAAGTTGGCGGGAAGGCCGTTCTCCCAGGACTGCAGGAGGTAAGTAAGGTTGGAACACAGTAGTGGGTACTCGGGAAATACGAGCTCTTAGCCTCGTTCCTGAAGTTGGGGCTGCAGATGAGCCAGAAGAGATGCTGACACACTTCAGCAGTGAGTGGTGTGGCCATTCTGTCTGTGAAGCAAAAGGCTGTGGAAGGAGGCACCAGTGAAATCACCATCTGGGCGTCACAGCCTGCGTGACAGTCATACCTAATCTCCAACTGGGAATATGCAATAATAGCTTGCATTTAAAAGCTTAAAAAAATTAAAATTGAAACCTTTTCACATCTTGCTTCTTTTAATGTTTGGCAGTTTGTTATTCTTCCAAGGGGTCCCTGAGGGCAGTAAAACTTGAGTAGCCCTCACACCCCAACTCCCCACCTCCTAATACAGGTTAAGGGTAGGTTTTTGAAAGACTTTTATTGTGAAATGTAATGTACAAACAGAGAAGTACACTATTGTTGTTGTATGGTGTGTGTGTTTTTTTTCTTTAAGAACATAAAAAGAAACTTGTTTCTCTCTTCTGAGCCTTGAGTTGCCTCTAGGCTACAAAAACAAATGACCAATTTGCTTTCTAATTATCAAAGGACACACAGTAACAGCAGGCTTGGATTTTTGATCTAGGTTTATCAAGTCACATGGCAGATGCATCAATTAAAAAAATCTTGGTACTTCGGGGGGCAGCCAACAGTTACTTTACTTGCATGTTCTGACTTACCGGCTTGGAGATATTTCTCAATTGTGGGCACCCAAGTGTACGAGATTCTAGTGGGAAAATCGACCACTTGCTGGAAGCCTGCCTTCCATTTGAGCTTTCTCTGTTAGTGGAAGCCCTTTTGTTAAATTTTGCATAACGATCAGATGACAAAATGTAGCTCCTTTGAAAAGCAGTAACTGCTTTGAGATTGCCATACATTTTTGTTGATTATGTGTAATTGGGTCTTCCTATACTAATGACTTGCATTTAATTTCACTATCTGTCTAAGCAGTGGAGGTGGCGTCCATATTTTCTTACAGTAAGAAGCAAAGCAGGACAGCCCTAGCATTGCCTTTTTAAGTGTTCTTCTTTATTATATACTTTGAAAGAATACTGTTATACCAGAACATCGTGGATGTTGAGAAACCAGCGCTTGGAAATACATTTTGATTGAAAGCCAAAGCTGTATTTTTGTAAAGGGTACGATGTGACTTACAGAATTCTAAGAAGTATTAGATGTAATATCACTGTTCTGCATTCCATGTAGAAAAGTAAACAGATCCTCTCCTGTATGCAGTTATTTTTCTGTATAAAAAGGGGTTCCCTGTCTTTTTTGGGAGGGAGCATGCAGGCATCAGGGGCGAGGGTTCCAGTCACTGATTGCTGTCACCTGAATAGCGCTGTGTCCCGTCTGCAGCGTGAGGTCTGCAGTGCAGTAAGCCATGTGGGGTGCAGGCTCCCGAGCCAGGCTGCCTGCATTTGAATCCTGTCACTTTAGAAGAGCTTGACTCAATCTTGCCTCAGTTTTCCCATTTTTATCGGGTGAGCGTAGTGCCTACCTCTTCGGGTTGTTGTGAAGATGAGATAAATTTACAAACAGGCAGTGCCCGGTGTAAGAAAAACTTTCATGATAAGCTTCTGTCTGCCCTGCAGGCTTTTTCTTGTGGGCAAGTCACCCCTCACTGTTTGTACTTGGTGCCATGAAGGGTTTAAACTGGGGTGTCAGATCATGGTCTCTGCTTTCAAGCAGAATTAAACATTAGGACCTGATAAGTGGAATAAATAAACATAGTCTCAGTTTACTAATAGTCAATGAAGGGAAATACAGTAAAACCTTGGATCGCGAGTAACTTGGGGTTTCCCAGTGTTCCGCAAGACGAGCAAACATTTCTAATACATTTTAATGTTGTAAATGAGCGATGTCTTGCAATATGAGTAGTTTGTTTCCTGAACGAATTATGCTCGCAAACTGAGGTATTACTGTAGTTGGAAAAACTGAGAACATATTGCTAGATAGGATTTATTTAAGTTTTCTTAGCTGTTCTGTGATTCGTCATTTATGAATTTGTAAAGTGGGAAATCAGCTAACCTTTTCGGGCTTCAACTTTCCCACCACCTATGAGATGGAAAGAATGCAGCTGGATGGTAGATTATGAATAAACATTAAAAATGTACCCGAAACTCCAAGACCAAGCCAGCCACCTTGTCCAGTCTCTCATATACTGCAGAACCCAGCTGCATGGCAGAGATGCTGTGTGGGGCTCAAGCACACTTGTCCTTTGAAAGTGAATTTATTTTTCATCTTTTGATCCATATTTAGACATATCAGAAGACTATATATAGGTGGTTTCTTTCTGGTGGTTGGATTTCTGGGAGTAATATTTCTGTTTCCGTATTATTCTGTATGCATTATTTTTATCATCAGAAAAAAATTTTTTTTTTAGAGTGTGAAATTAGCTGAAAACAGTAAATTTAAGAAACCTGAAAAGTGAATGCCTCCTGTGGCCAGGGCATTGAGCTAAGTGCTGAAAAGGCAAATTAAATAAGACATTGTCCCCAGCCTTCCATTGGCCACAGACTAATATAATTCAGCAAAGGGAGATGTGCTCAATGGTCTGATAACTCTGTGGAAGTGATTTTAGTGTTTTCTCTCTCTTTGTCCCCTAACCCCCTCCCCCACTGCTGCAGGTACCGATGGCTGCCCAGCAGGAGAGGAGGGATGTCAGGATTTGGCGTGCCCCCTGCTAGCATGAGGCGAGCTGCTGATCAGAATGGCGGAGGCGGGAGACACAACTGGGGACAGGGCTTTCGACTTGGGGACCAGTGAAGGAGGGGCCTCTGGCCTGCCCACCAGCCGGTCTGCTCAGATGAATTTTTCTTCCAATTGCTGGGTGTGTGTAACCACCGAGTTCTAGCAAACACTATTGGACCTGACCCACACTGAATGTAGTCTTTTAGTACAAGACAAAATTTTTTAAATCCTGAAGAAAAATGTAAGTGTTCCTCAAATTTCGTGATTCTCGTTCAAGCCCTTACTGCTATGAAGAACAAACGTCAACTGTGCAGATTTCAGAACTGACTCGATTTTTTGGTGTCTCTCTTCTCCCTTTTCTGTCTGAATAATGGGTTTTGGCAGGTCCTGGTCTGCTGGCACCAACCTGGGCATCTGGAGTTGGGTCCCCAAATCCTTGTCAAAGGGACTCTTACCTCTTTCTCGCACACATGCCTCCCTCCCACTTTTTCCAGCTCCCCAGTTTGCAGCTAGAGGAGGTTGCCTGTAAAATGGTTCTGCCTTTGACAAGCTGTCTTATTTATTGACTTCTGCCAAGGCTTGGTCACAGAGAACTTGGCCACACCCTTTTCTCCCCTTCGGTGGCAGAACTGAAACAAGGGGAGAAGGCCAGCAGCAGATGAAGAGTTTTTTCTCAGCTTTTGCAATTGCTATGACCTGATATCAGTTGTTACCACTTGCCACCTCTTCAGATGTTTTTATAAAAAAAAAAAAAAAATAATAAAAATAAAAAAGCCCTACTGAGTCAGCGAGGGCCGCAGATTGGTACTGATGAGGCATGAGGGTTGTTGCTAGGCATTCTTTTTTCCTAATTTAAGTAATCAGAACTATGGTGGAGTTGCATCTTACATGGGCTAGGTTTAAACCGCGGTGGGCAGAGAATCCCTTTGCATCTCATGTGTAGGGCATACTGGCTTTGTGTGTACCCCGGGTAGTTGGATTGTATTGTGCTAGAAATTTCCAAATCACACTTGCCACAGGGAGAGGCTCTCTTTGAGAGGCACCTGGGCATTGATTCCATTTCATTCTCGTGGATACATGTTTATTGGGTAGAAAGGAGGGGCGAACCATTGCCCCTATTTAAACTGTCATTTTTTTTGGCTCCCACCGACCCCCGTGGCCGCGTGCCTCAGTTCATTGTGAGGAAGGTGCAACTCCTATGTGTGTATGTAGATCATATTTTAAGAACTAATATAGTACACTAAGTAAATCACATAATTTGGGGTTGTAATGGCTTTAGAATCATTTGTGTTTGAGGGTCTTGATCATTCTGAGTCACGAATGTCCATCAGACCAGCTGAAATACCCGCCACTCGTTTCTCATCGGTGGGCTTTTCCCATCAGACCGAGGCTTGTCACCAAATAAAGTTTTTTGAAGGCTACAGTGTTTCACACAGTTTCTCATTTTATGTTTTTATTCTGAAAGCAGACTGCTTTCGGAGCAGTGTTTGAGTGGCTGCCATACTTTAATCAACTACATTTTGATCCAGTTTCTTTTCAGGAAACATTGTGGGCTAGCAGGATGGCTGTTCTTTGCCCCACTCTTAAACCGTGATGTGTGTCATCCTAGGGGATTTGAAAACAGTTCCTCAGTTTTCATTTGGTTTGTGTGCATGTACCTCTCCATATTTAATTTATATGATAATGTAGGAGGCGGGAGAATCCGAACCTTAACTGTCATATGTTCTGTTGTTGACCTGTGGCCACAATAAAATTTACTTGTAAAATTTTAGAAGCAATTATTCCTATTATGTCGCATGTGCAGTCATCATACAGGGGTGTGAACTCGTATGTGTAAGGATTCTCATGGTAAGTGAGCTGGAATCTTATACGCCCTCTTAGCAGCTCAGCTGCCTGAGAGCAGCAGTTTTTCTAAAGGTCGTGACAAGTATTCTTTACAATTCTTCCTTTGAAGGCACAATGTTCATTAAATTCTTCCCTTAAACATGTTTAGAAACCTGATGATTTGATTAATCGTGTCTGGATTACCTGTCTTTTTGGAGTAATTTTAGCTAAGCCAGCTATTTGAGATTTGACAAGGCAAGATATGACAGTGGATTCTCCTTATGAATGAAAGGAAAAAAAAATCCTTATTTTGTAAGAGAAATTCCCTTTTTGTAACAAGTTGTTTTTATTGGTAAAAATTGTCAATTAAAATGTACAACTTGACGGTTGTCTGTCCTGAGTTTCCACATCCCTCTTCTGCCTCCGTATCCTGTTGCCTCTTGGAGATAATACATAATTTCTGTAACCAGTCATCTCTTGGGCATTTACGAGTGTGTTGTGTTTGGTGCTCTTATAGCGACACAGCAAACATTTTTGTACCTACTTGTGTTCACGTGTTGGAGGGTATTGGTAGTGACTCCTGGAAGCAGAATTTCTGGGTTAATGTTAATGAAAGGATGCTTCTGAACACTGGGTGAGGAGTCAGATCTGACAGTAGCGTGCGCCATGGCCTTTCTGTAGCCCCCACCCATGAGTCTGAGTCCTGGAGCCCTACTGAGTTAGTTGTATCCCACTGCCATGTAAGAACCGCGGAGACTGGGAGGCCGACGCCCTGACATTCCTAAGCCTTTTCTTCTTGACGGTGAACCATCCACGTTTGTACCCTAGGCCTTAGGCAGGCCGTCTCCATTCATCACAAGGTGGGGTGCTGAGAAGGGGCAGGGCTGTGCACCCCTGTCCTGGAAAAATTGGAACGGTCTGCTTATTTCAAAGGACAGGATGCCAGTGTCACTGTGCTCTAAGCTACCTTTTGAGCACCACTGACATTGCGGTTGCCAACTGCCTCATTCATTGCCAACTGTTTCTGAGGTCCCTTCCCCCTTTAAGTTTTCAGCGTTAACTCAATACTCAGTAACAACGCTTAACCTTTGGGAAAATCTTGTTAGCATCATGAGGACAGCGACAGTGTCTTATCATGGCTGTAGTCCCAGTACCTAGCACAGCGCCGGCCACATACAGGTGCTTCTGTGCTGGCTGCACCGAGCTGGAATTTGGACAGGGTGGTAGCTTGGGTAGGAATTTGACCTGTTTCGGGAGAGAGCTAATGGCCTGGTCTCTCAAGAGCCTTTTTGTTGCTCATTAGGGGAATCATACTCCTCTGAAAGGGAATACTAGAAGAGGCTGGAGGCATCAGGAAGGATGGATTCAATAGTAAGATACTGTTTAAAAAGCAGCTAAGCAGCTTCCATCCACAGTGTGTAATTATCTGCTCACGGGTGTAGGTACTTTGGGGTGATTTGGGCAAAAGGAAACCCAGTAGAGGCTGAAGGCAAGCAGGAACATTTGGGAAGGTTAATTGAAGGTGTAAATTTAGCTTTCTCTCCCCTGAGGAGTTCCCCAATGGCAAATGCAGATACATTGAGAAGGAGAACCCCCTGCCACGTCCTCGTTCGCCACGGGGCCAGAGTGACCCACAGGGAGTGCTGAATTGACTTGAGGTGCAAGGCGTAAGGATCACTTAGGAAATGTCTGCTAAGCTCGATTTGTGGTTCGCAGTTTTAAGCTGACCCTGGTGAATTGGACCCCTCTTTTCTCTGTCAGTGTGCTGGCCTTTTCCTGAGGGCGGGCACTGATGCGGTGAGTGCCCTTGTTAATTAAGGGCAATCACTGTTAGCTTAAGGGAGACCATGGATACTGATGGAAGCAGTAAACCTGGCTGTTAGGATGTAAGGTGCGTCTGTCCCCACGCTGGGCCCTCATCACCTGGAGGTGCTCAGACCTCATATTGGAGAGGAGGGATTGGGACTTTCCCCATCACTCCCATCATCAGTCAGGGTGATGCTGGTACCCAAAAAGGACTCTGGTTAACTTCAGCCAAAGGGAGTTTATGGGAAGGATGTAGAATACCTCACAGATCCTAAGAGCCTGCTGGAAAACCTGACATGGCAAGTGTACTGGGGATTCAGGGAGCAGGAACTGATGTTACCACATCTGCTGGGCTCATTCAGCTCCACCTTTAGTCTATGCTTGCACCTCTGTCTTCAGGATTCAACTCCTGCGTCTTACTGGCCTAGCTTGGACCTTGTGTTTCTCCCATGGCTACGAATTCAGGGAAAGACATTTGACTGACAGTCCCATGTAATGGTGGAGAGGTAATTTTCCAATAGCAAACCACAGTGCTTTTGCATCCTAAGAAAGGGGAAGTAGACACTGGATGTCCGTGACACCCCAGCTGGCTCACTAGCACAGTCAGCCAACCACATGTGTGGCCTCCTGGAGGAGCCCTGAGCTTTGCCTCATTCCAACCGAGGGAGGAGAGAATATGTCCTTCTGTCACCTCCCTCAACCTCATCTATAGAGCATTAGCGAGCCGTGTAGACGTCGCTGAAGATTTTGGGGGGAGAGGGTTGACATTGAACTTGACAGGGTAAGTGACTCCCCACACTTCTTGAGAGCAGGGACCGTGTCTGTCTGTTCACCGTCACATCCTAGTACCTACCACAAAGCCTGGCACGCATAGGCTCCTGGCGATAAATATTAGTCGAAGGAATGAATCCATTTCGTAACCTAAATCCTCTTGAACTGGCTCCTTGCCTTTCTCTTCATCCTTTCCCCCGTGTGACTGTTCTAGTAACCCGCTAATGTCTTGGTCAACTTTGCTCTGGCTCTAAAACTCTGTACTCAGCAAAATAAAAGGCTTAATGTTAATCAGAGCTACCCACCTTAGAAAGGCTTATCAAAGGTATTCACCAAAAACAAAGCAAGACTGGGGCAGGGAGCAGGACAGTTCTGCTGCTAAATAAACCAAGATGACTTCATTATGTTTATTATTTCAAATGTTTGATTATTATGTAATCCCAAATTCTGATTTGCCCCCTGGATTGGGTTGAATGGTGATCCCCCAAAATATGTCCATGTACTGGTTCTCGAAACCAAGGATGTGACTTTGTTTGATAAAAGGGTCTCTGTAGATGTAATTAGGGATTTTGAGATGAGGAGGTCATCCTGGATTATCTGGGTGGGCTCTGAATCCAATGACAAGTGTCTCATAAGAGGCACACGGGTTATTTGACAGAAGAGAAGACGTAGACACAAAGAGAAGGTGACGTGAAGATGGAGGCAGAGACAAGCAATGTGGCTGGCCACCAACGAGGTCAAGGAACGCCTGAGATCAACAGAAGCTGGGAGAGGCAAGGAACAACTCCCCTAGAGACTTCGGAGGAGCTGTGCTCTGACACTGTGGTTTTGAACTTTTGGCCTCCAGATCTGTGAGAGAATAAATTTCTATTGTTATACGCCATCAAGTTTGTGGTGATTTGTCACAGCTGCCACAGGAAAACGAATACACACCCTGAAGTACTGTAACAGCCTCCCAGCTGTCTTCTCAGAATTCTTTAAATGCAGTGTAGTCTTTTCTGCCTGTTACTCCTAGAACACTCACAACTCTACCTCTGGCCTAGCAAGGGGTATTGGTAATATTTTATCTCTTCAGGTCAGCCAATCAAACTGCCCAAGACTGAAAGAAAGGCTGAGCACCACTTTCCCCACCAGGTAAGATAACTTGGATGCATCTCTTCCTTGCTTCCTGACAGAGCTTTAATTTAGAAGCTGACCACCAGTCTTCTCTCTGCATCCCAGTATCTGCCCACTTTTATCGTAGACCACTATCATTGGCAAGACATTACAAAAATGGAATTTTGAATTTCTTATATAAGCTCAAAGATCCTTTAGGCCAGGGAGTACCAAAAAGATGACCTGAATCAGAGATGTTCAGCTGTTTTTTTAGATAGGGAACTCTTTGCTCTAATGAAATCTCGAATCAATATATAAAAGACAAAAGTAAAGCTGATCTAAAATTGGTTAGGAAGAGAGGGGTCCCAGCCAGTGTTGTCTCAACTGCCCCCCCCATTTCAGTCCCTCTTTGCCCCCATTTTTTTCTTAACAAATTCCTTGAAATTACCCTGACTTCTGTTGTCGAAAATGATTTTTCTAAGTTGGCCTCGTTTCTGGGCCATTGCTACAGAGAACAGCTCCTTTCCTCGTCTTTGTTGTTTTTTTTTAGGGGACCAATAAGTCACTGTCCTCTTTTCCTCCTCAGCTTGGAACCAACTGAGAGATAATCACAGTTATTAGATAGAGATAAAAATGTTAGTTTCATTACTGGGAAGAGCTGGATTGGAAGATATGCCATAGTGGTGTAGTCATGTGGATGTCCTAGAACGGAACCCCAGAATTTGAAAGGTGCCCCTCGTTATTGACACGGGTAGGTAAGGACAGAATGGAGTCTACTGCTCCAAGCTTACCACCGGGAAGAGCAGAGAAGGTGGCTTCCAGAGGCCTGATAGACTTCACAGGGCTAAACTCGGTTCCTTTATCTGTTCAACCAATTATATGTCTTCCCCTTGGGAGAAAATTGAGTTTCTTGTTGACTTTTCTTCTCTGGGAAATCCCCTCTCTTCTATGGAAATGCAAGGCGTAAGGAAACATTTCCCCCTAAGAAAGGATTTCTCCCTAAGAATGTCCACTTCCATTCTCACGTACAAGACAGAGATGTTTCTTTTGGAGACCCAGGACCCAAGTGGCCTCTTGGTAAGATGTATATTAGTCAATGGGTTAGGCTAATAGCTGTAACAAACAATCCCTAAATCCCCATTGCAAAACCCAGCGGTGATATATTTCTTGTTCAAACTACAGTCCAGTGGGATTGTGGGTAGGCAGGTGGGATGGTGGAGGTGAGGAGGGGAAGTGGGGAATGGGGGCTTTGGTCCATGCACTTATTCAGCGACTCAGTCTCCTTTAGTTCAGGGATTTTAAACTGTGTGTGTGTGTGTGTGTGTGTGCCATGGTACATCATCTCCCAGGTCCCCAGCGTCCTCCACTGAATCCTTTGTAGGTGGTGAGCAGATTGAGAAGTAGCACATAGAGGGCTGTGCAAGAGATTTCAGCGGCCAGACTGAAAGCCGCATGTCATTTCTGTCCATATCCTATCGGCTAGCACTCAGTCACATGTCTCCCACTAACCACAGGGGAAGCTCAGAAACCTAAGTCTTGTCATCATAGGACAGTGGTTCTCAACCTTTCACAGGGGTCGCCCAAGACCATCGGAAAACATATTTTTGATGGTCTTAGGAACCGAGACACCACTCCTCTGTCCGTCTCCATGCCCACATGCAGATATGCCCACATACGAGTACCTGGCGACCCCTGTGAAAGGGTCGTTCGAC